TTTAAAGCCATGGCCCCAGGCTGCTTACGTTGGCATCTGGATGGAAATTTCCGACTATGTAAACCTGAATGGGGCTCATTTTTCTCTGCTGAATTATGATCATAAGAGATCCCTCAATCTAGATGCTGGGGCTGGATAATAATTACAATTTCTCATGAAAGTGTAAAAAAGTTGTTAGTAAGCCCGAATTTGTAGTAAATGTTATTTTAGCATTTATCACACTGCATTATGATTTCTTGCTGAATTGTGTTGGACCTTACTCTGGTGTCTACCCGTCCTCAGCCCGGTGGCCTAGTGCTGTGTGTCACAAGCAGAGGCTCAGTGAACACTTGTTGACACAGTGGAGGAGTTAACGGCCATGGCAGGGTGAAGTTTGTTTTTTAGCTGTGATTCAGCCACTCTTGATCAGGACTGTGTTATTGGAAAGTAAAGCTCTTCAACATATTGTGGAACGCCTCACCTCACCCCTCTCCGTTTCTGACTTCACTCGCCGTCTGACCTGGGGGGCTGGCTTCTGCAGGACTTGACTTGTCTGAAAATAAAAATCAAGATGATATCTACTTCACAAAGATGTGAATTATAAATGAGATAACAGATTGAAAGCAACGTGTGTGTGCATATACACTTCCTAGTTTAGGCCAGAGCCATGGCTAAATTTAGTAACAGACTTTTAATAGGGACACTTGTAAGGTCCAAGGGTTTGATCTATATAACCAGCGGCATGAACACAGAACAGGAGAAGGGCGGCTTAGCAACAATGTGTCTAGAAAGAGTGAGGATTTTGCCTCCAGCAAGCTTAATATGAATCTATAATATGGTTTGACTGCTATTTACCAATAACATTCAGCAATTATCGATGGATTACCTACCATGTAATGCAAGTTTTAAATTCTGCTAATAGAAATATCCAAAACAGTGTTTCCCAGAGTGAGTTCTGCAGAGAATCACTTTGATGTTACTAGTTGTTATATGGGGAAAAAAGGGCTGGTTTGGGAAACAGCGGGTTAGATGATTGAACATCTCTGTTGTAGAATTTTTGGGCCTTGAGTTATTGTGCATTGTGAATCTCCAAGAGCGGGGCCTCCCATGGACAGCACTTTGGTAAGAGGTGGAGCAGGGCTGTTGGTGGTTCTGCCTGTTTCTGGGCCCATCAGACTGTACCTGGACCACTCTGTCAGCAGGGACCCCACTCCCTGTCACATGTGGACTGCTGGGCCAGTATCCAGAGGAGGGCAGCCGGGATGGGGAGGGAAGTGGAGACGATGCCATGGGAGGGGCACACAGAGGAAGTGGGGCTGCCTAGCCTGTGGGTACAGGGGAGGGTTGGTGGGGTGGAGGTGAGGGTAGAGGCAGACTGAAAATGCCTGTCCTCCGGTATCTGAATGTGGGAGAGGGAGTGGACGGTTCTCTCAAGGAGCGGAATGAGAACCAGTGGGTCAGAGTGACTGGAAAACATTTTGGACCCAACCCAAAGTAGAATTTTCTTTGAAGATGGCTGTATTTTACATACTGACTCTGTGTTCTTAGAAGGTGTGGCTTTTGGGTGGTGTAGAAGCATTAGATGGTATTGAAAAGTGTTCTTTAAAATCCCATCCAATCCCCAGTCTATGAATTTGCGATTATTTTGTTTTGTTTGGCAAAGTTTATTTCCTCAGCCTTCTGTGTTTTCAGCATTGTGCAAATTCCTGTGGGTAATTAGAAAAAGCAGTGGTTTGTGTAAATTTGTTAGTTGAATGACAAGACTAACACATGAGACAATTGTTAGCAAACTAAGACAAAATATAAACAAAAGGCAAATTTTTGATCTGTAAAGGTACCACAGAAATTCAAGAAGAGGAAAACTTGAGGAGCCTGTAAACTGGGGTTTGAAGGATTAATAAGATTTGCTTGGCAGAGAGGCGAGCAGAAGCCCTGCAGATCAGCAGAAGCCCAGGGATGAAGGCAAGAGACAGGAAGCTTTTGAGCAGGAGCAGTGTGGATAAATCTGTAATTAAGAAAGATCCACGGGCCGGCCCCATGGCTTAGCGGTTAAGTGTGCGCGCTCTGCTGCTGGCGGCCCGGGTTCGGATCCCGGGCGGGCACCGACACACCGCTTCTCTGGCCATGCTGGGGCCGCGTCCCACATATAGCAACTAGAAGGATGTGCAGCTGTGACGTATAACTATCTACTGGGGCTTTGGGGGAAAAAATAAATAAAATTAAAAAAAAAAAAGACCCATCTGTCAGCTTTGTGTAGGAGATAAAGCATCTCCTTGAGAGTAATCATCTAAGCCATGTGAGTGCTTGCAGTCTTTGAGGGAGAGGTTGTGGCTAGAACATGGATGAGCGAGGTCTTAAAGCTTAGTTGTTAGAGCACAGGTCCATCCGGTTCAGATCCATCCCTCATTAGACCTTCGTGAAGCTACATGGAGAAACTGAAGCCCAGAAGTTGACTGTTAACTGGATAGTATTACTTGCCTCTAGGATATATATGAGGATTAAAGGAGATAAAGAATTACGTAATTCAGTGCTCAATAAATGTTACTTAATGTTATTTATTATGTAGCTGAAGTTCCCTAGAGCCGTGGTTCTGGAAATGTCCACAGACCCACCGACCACATTAGTGTCATTCGTGAGCTTGTTACATGTGCAAACTCGTGAGCCCCACTCAGACACACTGAATCAGTCTCTGGGGTGGGGCCTCAGAAGCAGGCTTCACAAAGCTCTCCAGGCAACAGGCAGGGAAAAGTCTGAGAATTGCCCTAGAGGAGTCCTACAGTTGGGATTCAGGAACTAAGAAAGGGAGGGTGTTTAAAAGAGGGGCTAACTGGGGCCCACCTGGTGGCCTAGTGGTTAAGCTCCGCTTCTGGGGTTTGCAGGTTCAGATCCCAGGCTCGGACCTACACACCGCTTATCAAGCCATGCTGTGGCCGGCGTCCCACATATAAAGTAGAGGAAGATGGGCACAGATGTTCGCCCAGGGCCAATCTTCCTCAAGCAAAAAGAGGAGGATTGGCAACAGATGTTAGCTCAGGGCTGATCTTCCTCACCAAAAAAAGAGGGGGGGCTAACAGCAGTGTTCTTTGCAGTGTAGAAGATAAAAAAACACAGAGATTATGAAATTTGGGAGAAGGGAGGTAGTGTGTTCTTTGCAGTGCCTGACAACTTTACACACAGTGTTCAATAAATATTTGTTTTTATGTTATTGACGACAACTGGTTTAGTGGTATGTTGGGAACAGAAGGAAGATTTCAGGGCAGTTATATATAACATATATAATACATAGCCCAAATTTTAAAAAATACCGCAGAACCACATTAGAAATTTAATGTTGGGTGAAGTTTAAGTTTTAGGTTTAACAGTGTTTATGGACTGCCTACCTACTGTGATTGGGCACTGTGCTATCTGCTATAAATAGAAAATGAGATACAACTCTTGTTTTCAGAGGCTTCACAGAATTACACTTTTTTATGAATTTGAAGCTGTCTTTTTCCATAGCTTTTTCTAGCTGTGGAGAATTAACGCTATATCTGATCAGTAGATGCCGGAAGTTGAGTGTGTGGTTGTCTTCCAGCCAGTGCGAGGCCTGATTTGAAGTGACCTCGTTTCTGAAAGCATTCTGAACGTTGACTTCTTTTGTTCATTATTTTATGGCTTGAGGTATACCTGAGAGACGATTTGAAATCTTTTGAGAAATTTTATGTCCCTGTTAAATGTGGGCACCTGGGGGTTTTCCACATTGAGAGTTGTGCCAGTTGGTTTGTCCCCATTCCCAGTACACGCACCAAACGCAGTAGCCCGAAATAAATTGACTTCTAAGCTTCATCCGTTTAGTTGTTACCTACTGCCCATTACGTACAGGACACTGTGATGATAATGATGAAACAGCATCGACAGAGTCTGTCTTATTGAAGAACCGGGACAGCCTGAGGCCGTGCACACTGAGTCTGGAGGAGTGCCTGGGCTCTCGGTTCAGTACCTGCCTGGGGCCTGCTGGAGGTCAGCCAAGGGTTCAGTTGATCCCTGACACACGGCGGGGTTGAGATTTGTGAACGTGCCGCCCCTATAAGACATCCCCCTTTCACAGTGGCGAGGGGAAAGTGAGTACATTAGAGTGGCTGGTGAAGAAGCTGTGTTTTTAAAACTTACAGTTTCTTGAAAATAGATGGCATAGTATTTAAGATTGCAAGTGGAATACAGGAATTATATTTGCTTGTATTTATGATCTCCTAGTTTTATATCGTAGAGAGACTTCAAGAAAACCCCAGTGGAGGTCGCTCTCCAAAGATGATGATGGTGATCGGGCAGTTAATCTGAATAGTCATTTGTTAAGAATGTTGCTTGTTTTGTTTTTATTGAGGTATAATTGACATATCACATTATATTAGTTTCAGGTGTACAGCATAATGATTCCAGATTTGTATATATAGCGAAGGGAATGTATTTTAATTGACGCTTGGACCAAGCCGCCTGCTCTCTTCCCCTTGCTCTGGACTTTGGGGCTGAGGTGGGTGGGTAGTGAGGACTGCTGACATTCTTTTATTCTTTTTGTCTCCAAATCCCCCAAAGAAAAGTAGCTGGAGCCTTAGTCCACCACTTTGAAAAAGTTGCCAAGACCAGACCGAGATCTGAGTGTTTCCAGTGGGCAGAGCGGTCAGCAGTGTCCTGTCTCTGAACATGGCTGTCGAGTATTGAGACAGTGAACTCTTGGATCTGTAAAGATCTTTCTGATCACCACAGTGCTAGACCACAGATTGGGTATTTGAAGACCTGGTGGAATAGATTTTTTTTTAATTTATGGGTTTTCTAAAACTGCTGAATATTGCAGTTTTCCTCTAAGTCCTACAGCTACCCAAGGAATGTTGGTGTCCTAAAAACACAGAACCCAGTGTGGAAAATAGAGTTATGGCATTTGTAGGGTTTTAGAGCTGAAAGAGGTTTTAAAAAGAAAAAAAACCCCCAAGGTTATACGCACTTTTTTGTTTTGTTTTGTTTTGTTTTAATGATTGCTTTGCATTCACCTCTTTTTTCCCTTCCCTTCTGTTTTCTGCAGTGAACACCTACCTCTTCATGATGCAAGCGCAAGGCATTCTGATTCGGGACAACATGAGAACAATAGGCGCTCAGGTCTATGAGCAGGTGGTTCGCAGTGCTTACGCCAAGAGGAACAGCAGTGTAAATGACTCAGGTATGTTTGTAGTAGAGGTGGTCTGATTAGAATGTCTCCTCCCAGGAGAGGTAAATTTGGTTTGAATAATTGTTTTTGATGGAAAAAAGTGCATTGTAAAGGTGGGAGGGTTTGGCTCTATCTTACCTTATTACTAAAAAAGAAAAGCTTGCAAAATGAATCCTTGTTTGTTTTGCTAATAATACCTTAAGGGTGTCTGGATGACTCCATTTTCGCTCCTAATACTTTTCAGGGAGGGGGAGGTAAGGAGTATCTTTCAGGACCCCGTTTTTCGGTGTAGTTGCCCCACTAGGCAGCTTAAGCATATATTAGGATACCAGCAAAATAGAAGCACCAAAAGCTGTTTCTGGAAATAATTTGATATTTGATTTCAAAAAAATGTATCCGTACAGCCAACAAGGAAAACAGAATTTGGTTGGACTTCTTTACACTTCTTTTATGGCTTAACTTAAAACTTGTTTTGTTGTCTTGTTTTTTTGAGTTACACGTGGTGGCGATAGTGGTGGTTGTGATGGTCATGGTGGTGGTGGTCTTGGTGGTGGTGGTCTGTGGTATTTTCAAAGCTAGTCTGGCCCTGGTTGCCACACAGGAAGAGTTGCTCCAACTCTGTTCTTCCTATTAGACTCTACTTGAATTTGTTCAGCCCAGTAGGACTTGTTTACCTTGTTGTTCATGAATGTTTTAGTTGAAACTTACCAAATTTCCATTTCATAATGATCGTGTAATTCAGGACAGTTTCTACAAAATATAGCTATAAAAACGACTTCTGGAAGGTAAGTTTAATAGATCACCTATCTACCTCCCAGTAAATGGTGTGATATTCATCCTGTGGTTTAATTCCAGCTAGGTGGCTGAGTTTGGTGGTCAGACTCATTCAGCTTGGAAGAAAGCTTTTCAGACTGTTCAGCCAAACATGCAATGATGGGCACAAGAGTGAACATTTCTGCCTCAATCTTTAGAACCTTTACCTGTGGCTTTTATTATCTTATAAGCACTAATTATATAAAGAGGAAACAAGAACACAGAAGTTAGATGGCTTGCCTAACATTGTAAAAACTTTTTCCTGAATCATGGTTTTGACTGGAACTATTTTTATAAAAGACTGTCTGTGGCAAGTTCTTCACCTTTGAGGGAAAGCTGTCTTTTTTATGTCTCTCTTTTTAACTCTTCCAAAAATTGAACATAGGAACTATTTTCAGATGGTTAAATGGGACTGTCATGAGCCTTCTCCAGTCTGGCCCGGGATGGTTTTTATTTAAAAAGTAGATTCTGAAATTTCATCTTGCTTAAGCATTCATGAGATGCCTCTTACTGAAGACTAACATGCTTTCCTATGGTTTCTCACTGATTTCACTCAAGCCTAGTATTATAAAATACATATGTTTTTAAAAATATTCTTTCCTCCAAATCAGTCCTCTCTTCTGTGTAAGTTCTAAGATTGTCTGGGGCTCACTGTAGAATGTGAAATTGGTTTGCAGACATTGCAAATGAGAATTATTCTGTGGTGCTTGCCATCTCAAGGAAAGCATTGCCTCTCAAAGGGCAGTTAAATCCTTGAAAGAATGGACCACATCCTAATTTATTAGTCTGTCCTGCTGGCCAACTTAGCAGCAACAAAGGACCCTAGTTAGCAAAGCTTTGGTACTTCCTTTCTTCTTGCTTGCAAAGAGGAAGTGATTGACTTTTCAGGGATTTTTAGCCAAATTGTGGGGACAAATTGCCTGAGCTCTGAACCATACCTGGAAGGGGTCCCTGCAGTTCCTAAAGTCAAGGGAGAAGGCTGAGTACATTTTTGTTTCCTAATTCATTGTGTGTAGTGTTAGGTTTTGCAAATGATCCCCAGACAGCTTGTCTCACTTGACTGGAATATGGCCCAGTCAGATAGGCAGGATCTTATGTTGCTTCCATTTTTCACATGTAGAACAGATAATCTTGGGGGAGTTGGAGTGGCTTGGTCGTGTGACTTTCCCTAAACCCTGCCAAACACCTGCTTCTGGCTGTGTAACGAAACTAGGGAGTCCTCTGACTACCATTCCCGAGCTCTTTGCCCTGGATCACTCTGGATAAAGGAACATTTGTGCTGTCATGACGTTTATCCATTCCAAGTGTTCATGCCTCTCTGAGGTTGGATGAAGTAGAACTTCTGTCTTGGCGTTTGGCGAGGTAGTCTGTTCTCTCTCAGAAGTTAGAGGGGTACAAAGCAGTACTCCATCCCCCACTGCTGCTGGTCTTGCAACACAGGATCTCACTAGATTGAGGGATTGTTGTCCTTGAAAACAGCACAGAAGTGAGTTGCACCCTTGGAAGGCATATCCAGGGACCCATTATTATTTGACTTTGCATGAGTTTATTCTCAAATTACCATACTCCAAAATAGTTCTTCCTAGCATGCCTCTGGTTGGACTAGTTAACCATCCATTTTGTGTTTCATGTGTCTATTTCCCTTATGAATAGGAAGTCTTTGCCATCGGGGGCTGTGTTTCTATGTGCTAGACACTTAACTTGCATTATCTCACGGAATCCTCACAAGAACTCAGGTAGCTGCTGTGTCCCCATTTTTGGGACAAAGGGGTGACTGTCTGACTCTGGTGCCCGCCCTCTGAACCCTGGCTGTGCCCTCGTGCCTCTGTCGTTTTTGTATCCCCAGCACCTGTACAACTGCCTACCACATAGGAGGCACTCAGTAAATTATTTTTGAGTGTGAATGAATAGATTTAACAAGAAAACACATTTTAAGTGTTGTGACATAATTCTGAGATTCCTATCTTGATTGGCTTCTATGTTATTGGCACATCCTTGGCGGGTACCTGTGAAAAAGTAAATATTTCATTGGGAATGTGTCCAGTGAAAACCCACCATTTTTACTCATGTCAAAGCAGTTCTCTGCCTAGCACAGTTAAAGATGGTGTTCTCGGCCTAAAGCTGCTGAGATAGCCAGGTGACCGCCACCTCTGACCCGGCCACTCCCGCCCAGAGCTCTGTGGGCTTGATGAGAGTAGGCTGGACCGAGGTCGTCCACCAACTCAGCTGCCCCACCCTGGAAACAGGGCTGTGGCACACACCCACATTCGAAGTCTGTCATTAGGCCAAGTGTCAGTGTCACTAAAAAGCTTAGTGTCACATTCAAGTAATGCTAGCTTTCTTTATCCTTGAAAGCTAAAGTGGTGATTGTCTAATAAGAGTGTTCTTTGGGGGATCAGGACCATGAGCCTGGAAATAGGCCTGAAGTAATGACCTGGAGAAGCTTCCTGTCAGTGAAAGCCATTGGTATGTGAGACTGTGAATCCTGCAGAACCTTCTATGAGCAATGAGGGGAAACGCTCAAAAGAATATTGGCATCAGAAGAGAATTCCCTGGGTTTTTCCAGTCCAGCCATTTAGTTTTATAGATGAGGGGAGTGGTTGAGTGGCCTGGCATTTCTCATTCTTAAATATGAATTTCCAGGTGCCATTCTACCTAGTAACTTTCAACCAGAGGGAGATTTCTTACCTCTATACACGCATGTACACGCACGTGCACACAGACCTCTCCACACTTACGGCCTCGTCCCCTTCTGGTCGCATACTCAGAAGAATGTGCTGTTGCCCACATCCTTCAAAACGGGGCTGTTCCATGGGCAAATAAAATGGATCAGGTCATTGCCAGATAGATGTTCTTGACCCCTTTCTCTCTGGTTTTTAGATGCTCCGTCAGGAGTTGTCTTTAGGTCTCCTCTCCTGTCGGGTGGTCATCCTTTAAGCATGCTAGTTCTTGAAGAAGGCGAATTCCTTTTTTTTTTCTTTGTGAGGAAGATCAGCCCTGAGCTAACATCTGATGCCAATCCTCCTCTTTTTGCTGAGGAGTACTGGCCCTGGGCTAACACCCGTGCCCATCTTCCTCTACTTTATATGGGATGCTGCCACAGCATGGCCTGACAAGCAGTGCGTCGGCGTGTGGCAGGGATCCGAACCTGCGAACCCCGGGCCGCCGCAGCGGAGCACGTGAACTTAACTGCTACGCCACTGGGCCCGTCCAGAAAGCGAATTGTTTATATCTCACAGATACTTGTCCCGAAGCCATCTTTCTAGTGTATATAAATTTCCACATTCTTCGTGCAGAGAGGCAAGTGTTTGGTCTTTTTTCAAATGGCAGACGGGGCAAGTGGTGATTCTTCCTGGAGTCTGTTAGTCAGCACTTTCCAGTCCTTGCTCAGCTGGATTTGGAAAGTTAAGGGAGAAAGCAGATTGTTGCCACCGCCTGAGTATTAGGGTGGCTGTGTCAACCTGAGTGCACACTGGAACCCCCTGGGGTGGGGAGGCTTTGAGAAATACCGGTGCCTGCACCCCACCCCCAGAGGTTTTTATTTAATTAGTCTGGGCTATAGCCTGGGCATTAGAGAATTTTTAAGAGCTTCCTAGATGATTCTCATGTGCAACCAAGGCTGCTGAGCCGGGGCGTAAAGCAGAGGTGAATAAGCAGCCGTTTGAATCTGTAGGGAGGAAGGGCGTCTGTTGTTTTCCCATTTTATACACGTGAACGCAGCTGCCGCCACCTTTGTCCCCTCCTTCCCTCGCTGGAAGAACGCGTCCTGATTTGAAATAGATTAGAGTTAAATTAAAAAGGAAAACCATGACCATAGAAATTCGGCAAGCTGGTTTCTCCTTGTAGCAGTTCCCTCAGTCAGTAGGTACGGGCTTTAGAAGAGTAAGAAATGGATGTTTGGATCCCTGGGGCGAGTGCGCAGTGCCATCCGCCCACCTCTGGGCGGCTGGAGGAGGAAAAACACAGGGACCCCACAATAACCATGCACAATTTTACCAGGTCATGGAGCAATTAATTTCCTCTGCCTTTTTCACTTGTTTAAAAGTTTTCTCCTGCTGGTGAGAAAGTAGATTTTATTTAAATTTTTATCTAAAGAACTTAAAATTAGAAATGAAGAAATTAGGGGTTTTTTCCCCCTAAGGTGTAGGGAAGGGTTATGGAGGACTTCCACTTAGGAGTTGTGTATTTGAGGGTTTTTTAAAAATATGGCATTACTAATTTAGTCATCAGAAGGAAAAAATAAGTGATGTCTTGTTTTGTTGCATGCTCGTTGCTGCCAGGCTATGTCAGTGCTTGAAGGAAGTAGAAAGGAATTTATTTGTGTCTTCAAACAGACCCCAAAAGTGGGCTGATTATGGTTATTAGAAAGCATCTTGTCTCCTCTCCCCGTGGTTCCCTTCTCATTTCCTGTTCAGGTTGTAGCTGTGAAGCTTGGTTCTGTCATGGCCCAGAATTACTGTTCTCTTCTGTTTTTGTGGATTTGCTTATGAAAATGCTTATTATAATACCTCTGGGAATTTCTTTGCCTTCTAGGCAAATGTAATTACTGTGATGCGGTCTCTAACCAGCTTCTCCCTCCACACATGTGCACACTGCAGACACACACGTTTTCTAAAATAAAACATAAAAACCGTTAATTTTTACTTAATAGTTTTTTGTATTAAAATGTATATATATAATTAAGAAGCAGAAGCAGAATCATTCAGAGTAACAATTAGTATTGGAGGTTCTTAACACAGCTCTTTGAAGTGTTAATACCTTCAGAAAAGGATCAACTCAACGACAGGGTTGCATGTGTGAACTGAGGACTTGGGGCTAATTTCTGTATAAATGTCATTTACCTTTAGGGTTCATGCTGGCTTGGTTTATGTCTTTATATAAATGCAGGCTTAGTGTGTTTTCGGAAAGCTACAACTAAAAAGGACAGAGAGCATTCTGTTCCTTTCCTCCCCTGTTAAGAGACTTAAAATTCTCAAGTTGCCTCTCATTGAGTTTGTCCTCTGAGTACTTGTGGAGTAGGCAGCCACATGCCTGTATAAAAGGATTTACTGTATTAGTCATTTGATTCTTGGAAACCCTCTCATAGTGCTTTTTAAAAAATATCTGGTTGATGATTCCAGAATTCCAGGGTGCAAGTGAATTTGAATAGGAAGTTTTAATTTTCATAGAATCAGCATGAATCCAAAAGGATTGCTGAGAGAGATTTTAGTACTGTGAAAAAACAGCACAGTGTAGTGGAAAGATCACTAACCTGGAGTTTAGTCGGGTCTCTCTGTGCACTGGGCAAGCCTCTTTGTACGAGTTGTGTATATTAGTGCCTCCGTGTCTTATCTGTGAAAAATAAGAAGTTGGAGAACCCCCTTCCTATTCCGCTATTACAGTCCCCTAGGGAAAAGGCACCTGCTTCATACTTTTGTAACCCCACTAAAATGACAGTTAAGAGGCGTGTGTGTGCGTGCGTGTGTGTTTAATGGCATAAACTCTTAAGAATGAGGAGAACAAAAAAAAGAGACCACAGCAAAAAATTGTGAAAGTGGGAAAGCAGATGGACTTAACAGACCCCAGAAAACTGACTGCTAATGTGGCAGCAGGGAAAGCCAGCAACACCCAGTTTTATCCCAGAACCCCCCAGAAGCTCAGGAATTAGCAATACAGGTACTTTTGGAGGTAAGAACAAAGGTGGCAGCTAAGATAAAGGTTGGCTGAAAGCTATTTAAAAAGTAGTCAGATACCCAGATCCCTTTCCCCATCCTGGCAAAGGACTGGAGCCTTGATAACCTCTAGAGATGGTACAGAGGGTCCCTCAACTTGGGGACACCTGGCACGGTTTAGGGTGCCCCTAGCCTATTTCTCAGACATGAGCAGTATAGAATCGTCATCATATAACTGTTGAAGATTGTCGTAACCCCGATGATCATATATGACTATTGGGAGGCGGGAGGATGGAAAGGGTGTGTGTGTGGTGGGGGCAGGGGAGGAAAAGGAGTGGAATCCTCATCCCCCATAGGGGGACGTCAGTAGATAAGACCTAAAACAGAAGAGTCAGGATGAACTGTATGCTGATGGAGGTAAATACTAAAATAGTTGGCTAAAAGAAGTAAGAATAGTTCCTTTAGTGAATAAGACATGGGAGTGGGGTGCTATTATTTTTTTTATTACGTTGTAGAGTTATTTGACTGTAAACTCTCTGCACATAAAGCTGTAATACCAATAAGAATAGAAGCACTGGTTAAAATAGCATCATCTGGGGCCGGCCCGGTGGCATAGCGGTATAAGTGCGCGCACTCCGCTGCAGAGGCCCAGGGTTTGCAGGTTCGGATCCCGGGCGTGCACCAATGCGCTGCTTGTCAAGCCACGCTGTGGCGGCGTCACATATGAAGTGGAGGAAGATGGGCACAGATGTTAGCCCAGGGCCAGTCTTCCTCAGCAAAAAGAGGAGGATTGGCATCGGATGTTAGCTCAGGGCTGATCTTCCTCACAAAAAATAAAATAGCATCATCTGGTTAACATTCTTATTGATGGGTTCAACTCTTCATCTCTTGTGAAGAGCTCGTCCAGAGTCCTGCTTCATGAAAGACAATATCTAAGAGAAATACTTCTTGGGTAGCATCTAAGAATACAGAATTGATTGCACATTCCAGTCTGAGTTGCCTGTTTCTTACCCCTCTAGATTATCCTCTTGACTTGAACCACAGTGAAACCTTCCTACAAACCACAACCTTTCTCCCTGAAGACTTCACCTACTTTGCAAACCATACCTGCCCCGAAAGGCTCCCTTCCATGAGTGAGTAGAACTCTCGCTTCTCTTCTTCTGCTTTTAAAATGGCTATGTCTTTTTGTTTGTTTAAAATAGAAGGGAGAATGTTGTTGATCCCTCCATTTGTCTCCCTATCTAGAGAATATAAACATTTGCCTCCCTGCCGTTAGGAACAGGGGTCGGGAAAGTCACTTGTGTCCTTCACCCCTCTGCAAGGTGGCCTGTGTGCTTGGTGCTGGTTTCTACCCCAGTTTTTCACTCTTTCCTTTGCACACGCCCCCTCCTCTGTAACTTGGGCGCTTGCACACGCCCCCTCCTCTGTAACTTGGGCTCTTGCACGCGCCCCCTCCTCTGTAACTTGGGCTCTTGCACACGCCCCCTCCTCTGTAACTTGGGCTCTGTTAGGATGTCCTAGAGAAGGTGTAGGCAGCGGCTTTGTCCTTTAGTATAAATCTCACACTCATTATAACTTGTTTATATGAGGGAAGTTGTTTTCTCAGCAAAGTGCTGGTTAAATTTTCGGATCTTTTTCTGTTTTCTTTCTTGGGATTCCATGTAATCGAAAGCAATGACAGCAAACTGTTATACCTTTTCTGTACTTGCGAGCTGCTTCAACAGGTCCGCTTCTTAGTTTAAGTCAGAGATGGTGAGTGTCCTAAGTTGGACGTGACCAGTCAGAGCCACTGATGAATTAACTGGGACAGAGTGTCTCTGCTTGCCCTGGGAGCACACAGAGAGGGCTCCAGGCTCAGCCGTCTTTCTCCTTCCTCTGAGAGGTTCAGCTGCTGTTTTACTTAGTCTTAATTTCTTTCTACACCCCTGGCCGAAGCAGAACTCTAAAGTCTAATTTCTTGATTTGCTGCTTTACCCAGCAACAGTGATGAGCTGAGTGCTGTGAGTTGGGAAGCAGGGGAGGGGACTCCCATCCCTGTTAAAAACACAGTCAGCTGAAAAAGCATTGAGCTTCTCCAGAGAATAAAACTCTTGGACATAGGGAGAAGAATCTATCATTTTCTGGCCTCTTCATTCTTTTTTTTCCCTCTCTGTGTCCAGAGGGCCTGATAGACATAAACATGAGTGAAATCGGAATGGATTACATTCACGAACTCTTCTCCAAAGACCCAACCATCAAGCTCGGAGGTCACTGGAAGCCTTCTGATTGCGTGCCTCGATGGAAGGTAGGGTGTGAAGTCAGACCTGAAGTGCTGGGAAGCCCACCTGGGACTTGCCGTCCTTCCGAATCACCATGGGACTCACTGACTATGACGTTTCATAATTTGCACCCTACGACCTGATGCAGAGTATTTGCGTTTGGTGGAAACATTTTGGAGGAGTGAATTTCCCTAAGGACTCTTCTGTAGTCACAGAAATTTGCATCATTCCGATGACTGAGCAGAACCCTTTTGTCTTCCTTACAGGAATATTGGCTGAGCAAGGGGGGAGGGTTGGTAGATCTCTTGTGACACATTTGCAGAAGCCATCTTCACAAATTCAGCACTTCTTGCCTAATTCGTCATTGTGACTATGAGTTTAGTGGAATAAACAGTGGCGTTAGCTAGCCTGACACTGAGAATTGTTTAGTGTTTTTCTGCACAACTGTAGTCAGGAGACACCAGCAGTGTGGATCCAGCTTATGACACCGGCTTAAGTCCATTCTTTAAAGAAGTACTTATTAAAGTGCTTATTCTGTGCTAGCCCTGTGAGTTACCGTGATGCAGCAATGATCAGAGCAGATCTGGAATGGATCGGTGTTTCCAACCCATCACTGGAATGTTAAATCAATTTTAATGACCAGCATTAAAAAGATAAACATATATGTGTTAAAGTGCATTGCACGTTGTAAGGGGAAGTCCTACTTTGTGAAGCACATTTTAGTTGTTTGTTTATATGTCTGTGGGTGTGTTTGTGTACTGGGTCACAGTGTAGAGTATATGGCTTCCTCTGGGCTGTGGTCTAGAATGAATTCATTCAGCAGGCCCACCGTGGACACGGTATGGTGCGTGTAAGAACAAGGTCCACTTACTTCCGGGGGTTGGCTTGCCAACTAGGTCTTCCTTTAGAGGAAGTTGAGGACAAGGCAGCCTCCCAGCTCTGCTCCCGGAGGGCTGGTCCCCGATGCTGCAGGAGTGTCCTGCTGCAAAGCAGTAGTTGAGGAGACTAACAGGGCGGCTTCTGCTGTGACCCCCTCCAGGTGGCGATCCTTATCCCCTTCCGGAACCGCCACGAGCACCTCCCGGTCCTCTTCAGACACCTGATCCCCATGCTTCAGCGCCAGCGCCTGCGGTTTGCATTTTATGTAATTGAGCAAGTGAGTGGTCCTTTCTTTCCTCTTTCTCTTCTGAGACAGCAGTTTAGAGGGCTTCAAGCTAATCCGTCTCTGGTGTGAAGAGCTGGTAAATCTTACGATCCAGCCACCCCGAGGTGGGAAGGGGAGCAAACAGTGCTCCTCTTCGAGATGTTCACTGCCAGCAGATTTGAGTCCAGGATGGAACTTTGTTTGCCCTTGAACAAAGGCCTCTTGTGTGGCGGTTTTACTGGAGCCGCTATGGGTGGTGTCTTTAGGCTCCAGACCCAGGATATTCTCCTTCAGATCAGGAGCTGCCAGTAGAAATGGCAGTGTTGTTCTTTCTTCCCTTTATGGGGCTGGGTTCTCTTCTGAATGCTGTTATATGGCTGAATGTCTGCCTTTACAACAGCCCTGGGAGAGGAGCTTGGGTTTATCATTATCACCCCTTTTATTTCTAAGAAAGTCGAGGCCAGAGGTCAAGTGACTTGTGAGTCGGAGATGAGCCGTGCTGGACCTCTCTCACTTCTGGCCCAGTGGTCTCTCCCAGATCAATAAGCTCTCCTTTAGGCAGGGCTGAGGTGGCGGAGATTTTACTTCAAGAGTCCTTTTAAAAATAAAATTCTGGGGGCTGGCCGGGTGGCGCAAGCAGTTAAGTGAGCACGCTCCATTGTGGCGGCCTGGGGTTCGCCAGTTCAGATCCCAGGCACGTACTGACGCACTGCTTGGCAAGCCATGCTATGGCGGTGTCCCCTATAAAGTGGAAGAAGCTGGGCACCGATGTTAGCCCAGGGCCAGTCTTCCTCAGCAAAAAAAGACGAGGATTGGCAAATGTTAGCACAGGGCTGATCTTCCTCACACAAAAAAAATAATAAAAAATAAATAAAGAATGTTCTGGGGGTTCGCCCTGTGGCTGAATGGTTCAAGTTCTGCACGCTCTGCTTTGATGGCCTGGGTTCACAGGTTCAGATCCCAGGCTCGGACCTACACCACTTGTCAGCCATGCTGTGGAGGCATCCCACATAGAAAGTGGAGGAAGGGCCGGCCCCGTGGCTTAGCGGTTAAGTGCGTGCGCTCCGATGCTGGCGGCCCGGGTTCGGATCCCGGGTGCGCACCGACGCACCGCTTCTCCGGCCATGCTGGGGCTGTGTCCCACATGCGGCAACTGGAAGGATGTGCAGCTATGACATACAACTATCTACTGGGGCTTTGGGGGAAAAATAAATAAAAAATAAAATAAAATAAAAATAAATCATAGAAAGTGGAGGAAGATTGGTGCAGATGTTAGCTCAGGGCTGATCTTCCTCAAGCAAAAAAAAAAAGAGGATTGGCAGTGAATGTTAGCTCAGGGCGAATCTTCCTCACCAGAATAAATAAATAAAAAATGAACTTCTGCTCGTTTTAGGTTGGCACCCAACCCTTTAATCGGGCCATGCTTTTCAACGTCGGTTTCCAAGAAGCAATGAAGGACTTGGACTGGGACTGTCTCATTTTCCATGATGTGGATCATATACCAGAAAGTGATCGTAACTATTATGGATGTGGGCAGATGCCAAGGCACTTTGCAACTAAATTGGATAAGTACATGTATCTGTGAGTATCATTTCCTCTTAACTAAAGAGGTTAAATCTAAAAGGGTGGTGAGAGATGCAACAATGGCAAAATCCAATTAGCTGCAACCCAAATGTCCATCAGCTGATGGATGGATAAACAAAAGTGGTATGTCCATACAATGGAATACTGTTTGGCAATAAAAAGGCATGGAGTATTGACACATGCGACGACATGGATGAAGCTTGAAAACATTATGCAAAGTGAAGGAAACTAGTTACAAAAGACCATGGATTGTGTGATTCCATTCATGTGAAATGTCCAGAGTAGACAAATCTGTAGAGACAGAGAGAAGAGTGGTTGCATGGGGTTGAGTGGAATAGGGGAAGTGAGGAGTGACTGTTCATGAGTACAAGGCTTCTTTTTGGGGTGATGAAATGTATTAAAATTGGTTGTGGTCATGAATGCACAACTCTGAATATACTAAAAATCATTGAATTATACACTTGAAGTGGGTGAATTATATGGTATGTCAGTAATGTCTCAATGAAGCTGTTATTAAAAAAATCAGTTAGAAAAAAATTCAGTTTTTTTCTGAGTGGTTGATGTGTGTCAGTGTGAGGACACGATTTCAGATGGTTTGGGGCAGCAGCACAGAGAGATTGTTGTACTGAAGACAGTTCTCCAGGGAGATGGCCTATTCTGGAGAAGAATCACCCTTTAATGCACAGATGGTTGATGCTGTCTGTCTCCTTGTAGGCTTCCTTATGCTGAGTTCTTTGGCGGAGTGAGCGGCTTAACAGTGGAACAGTTTCGGAAAATCAATGGCTTTCCTAATGCTTTCTGGGGTTGGGGTGGAGAAGATGATGACCTGTGGAACAGGTACTCTCCTTCTTCCAGTGCCTTCTAGAAATGCTACCCTAGACTCTCCAGACTAGCACTATCCAATAGGAGTGTGATGCAAGCCACGTCTGTAATTTTAAATGTTCTAGGAGCCACATTTGAAAAGTTTAAAAAAAGAAAAAGATGAGATTAATTTTAATATATTGATAAAATATGTTAACATATTTATCACAATGTATCCAAAATAATATTATTTCAATATGTAATCAATATAAAATGTTGAGATAGTTTACATTTATTTTTTCTTACTAAATCTTAAACATCAGGCGTGTATTTTACACTCATAGTACATTTTACTGAAACCTCCCCAAACCAGAGATCAAATATTAGTGATACGTGTACACAGATTTTCCATGCCATCAGATAAGGCTTGTATTATACAAGTTTGTGAATGGTCCTACATGTGAGTAGTGTAGACTAATATTTTTACAGAGTAAATAAATAGTAACCTAATAAGGAACAAATAAACAGAAGAATTTCCACCTTGTATCTGTTTACTTTCTAGCTTGGCTTTCAAAAAGAAAGTATGTATTGGTTGTTAATTACATTGGTTCTTAATTAATAAAGTAATATTTGCTGGTAAAAATTCAGGTGATAAGGAAGTGCATAAACCAAAGAGGGCTAGTCTCAATCCCCATCACTTTCCTATTTCATTCCCAGGAAGTAGCCGTTTTCACAAGCTGTTTCTTCCCATTCGTATGTGAACAACCCAGACACATCCCTTCTTCCCTCCCAACTGTGTTCATACAGAGAGAGCCACTTCGTTATTTTTAACAATATCATAGTATTCCTTTACATAGATCCACGATAATTTATTTTAATCTCCTTCTATTGATGAACATTACTGTTTTAAGATTTTGAACATCGCTTGTTCATGTGTGAAAATATTTCTGTTGGTTAAATTCCTACTTGTGGAAATGCAGAGTCAGAAGTAAATGCACTTCTCAATTTTGATAGTTATTGCCAAATTTTCCTCCAAAAAAGATGGCAAAAGGATTCCGACCAGCAGTGCATTAGTGTGCCCATTTTCTTACATCACTGTCAACATTGGGTATAAACAACCTTTTAAACCTTTGCCACGTTTCAGCCCTTTAGTAGCCACACGTGGCTCGTGGCTGTTATGTTGGACAAAGCAGCTCCAGACAATCCTGTCTCAATCTGATAGGTAAAAATGGCATTTCATCCTTTTAATTTGGGTATCTTAGGAACCTAGTGAGGATGAACAGCTTGTCCATACACTTAACTGGTTTGACTGGACCTTGAGTCTAGTTGAGCTCTCCCAGGATGTAATTCTCCTCTCACGTTCTCCCCAGCTCAGCGGGGGTCCCTCAGCTGCAGGAGCTGTGGCTGGTTTTCCCCAGCAACCTGCACAATTCCAGGCGCACAGTAGGCATTCCATATGTGTTTGTCACGTGAGAGTGAGCACACATCTTCCTGTATCAAAATGAGAGCATAATTTGGATTCAACAGGAGGATGTGGAAATAATATCCTCCCACGGTTTTAAAATATGAAAACGACCACAAATTTCACATAGATATCCAAAGTCTACCTCCTTGTATTAATTATTTCTTAGCGCCCTATCAAGTTTCCAGTAAATCCAGCTTGGGAAATCTTAGCTTTATCATATTAAGGGTAAATCCTAGATACCTCCTCTAAAGTCTGCTTCCCTCATAGTGACTTTCCATAAATTGTGAAGTTTTACATCTAGATTGGAGGATGTCATATAAATCAGTTCATCTCCGTGGTGATGGGGAGGTGGGTGGAGACATAGGTTCTACCTAAGTAGGGAAAACACACTGCAGCTCTGACTTTGCCAACTTGCTTTGTATAGGCTGTGGGGGGAGGGGTGCTGTCACCAGTGAGACAGTATTTTTGGTAGGAGCCAAACAGGCCGGCCTGCTGGGGACACTTGTGTTGTGCCTGTCGCTGAGAATCCACGTCAGACCTTACACTCGAGGATTTTGAATTCTTTTCTTTCTCAGAACTCTTTTCTATTGTAGACTTCTTTTCCAAAACCATGCATTTATCCATAGAGTAGGCAACTTGAATAATCAGATGCAGAAGAAGTTCTGTCGTTCACCATGGGGTTTCTCACCCTCGGCGTAGGTTTGGTCACCTGTAGGACTTGATCATGTGGTCTCAAAGCCCCTTCTCTTTGTCTTGGACAGAGTACAGAACGCAGGCTATTCCGTGAGCAGGCCGGAAGGTGACACAGGGAAGTACAAGTCCATTCCTCATCACCATCGGGGAGAAGTCCAGTTTCTTGGAAGGTTGGTGCAGTTTATTTATTCCTCTTACAAATATCCTCTATACTTTGCATTTCCAGATGTCCCAGAACATCTTACAACCTCTCATGTTACTCCACACCCCACTCCGAGGTCCTGTTCTGACAGCTGTTTTATAGTTCCTGTATATATATTTTAGTTTTTAATTTATTTTTTTATTTTTTTTAATATTTATTTATTTTATTTAGTGTGTGGGTGTGTGAGGAAGATCAGCCCTGAGCTAACATCTGCCAATCCTCCTCTTTTTGCTGAGGAAGACTGGCCCTGAGCTAACATCCTTGCCCATCTTCCTCCACTTTTATATGGGACGCCGCCACAGCATGGCCTGACAAGCAGTGTGTGGGTGCCTGCCCAGGATCCGAACCCGGGCCGCCGCAGCGGAGCGCGTGCACTTAACCGCTACGCCACGGGACCGGCCCCTATATATTTTAATTTAACCGTGAGGCAAACTTTGGGAGTGAAATCAGACTATTGGTGAAAAATTTGATAGTAAGATGTTTTAAGGAAATCACTCATTCTATGTCTTAACCGTTGTAGTCTCTTCTGTAGCCTTCAGGGAGTTGGAGAAAAATCCACTGGAGTAAAGGTCTCTGTGTAACATGCAGTGCGTGACAGCAGAGGCAGCCGCCTTTCTGCAGGCTCCGGTTCTGGAGTGGTGTCCCTGGGCTTCTGTGTGTGTGGTTGCTGTTGCTTTATTACCCTCTTTACTGTCAATAGGGAAATTCCAGATTGGACTATGCGGGGCCTGTGGACAGAGTGACACCTCTGCATTTTCAGGAGTGGCTCTTTTTGTCTGTTGTTAATTGGAGGGAGGATTGTTCTCTAGACAGCCGATTCTGATTGCGTGAACTTTGTGTTGATGGGAGGGAGAGGGCACTGAATACAGACTCTGATCTTTCTTGTCTGATATGTTTTTAATATCTCGCCTCCCACTTCCCCACTCTGTGGCTTTGGGGAACAGCCTTATGTTTGACATAAGGCCATTTAACATCGTGAGCCTTGGTTTCCCCATTTGCTTACGAGGCGGGTGCATTAAATGTAATAATATAGTAAATAAAGCACGTGGCATGAAACAGGAGGTGTTGCTAATAATAATAACAACATGTTTATCGTGGAGAAGCTGACCGCCCTGGGTTGTGGGTTGTGTCCCCTCCTGGTCTGCCTGTCTGTCCTCTGTCGTGAGGAGCTGGCACCCTCGCTCAGGCCTCCCCATTCTCTGCTTACGCAGGTATGCTCTGCTGAGGAAGTCCAAGGAGCGGCAAGGGCTGGACGGCCTCAACAACTTGAACTACTTTGCGAACATCACGTACGACGCCTTGTATAAAAACATTACCGTCAACTTGACACCCGAGCTGGCTCAGGTGACCGAGTACTGAGATGAGGGGAGAATATGTTTGCTTTACCCACCGCCACCAAGAAAGCGGCCTGATGAGATGTCTCGGGGCTCCACCCGGAAGAGAGGAGACATGCGGCATCTAATGAAGGATCACAGGGTCAAGGAACAAATGTGAGCAGAGCACACGCACAAACGCCTTCACGTTCGGACCCGCCGGGAGGAGGGAGCGAGCTTGGGACGGCCTTCATCAGGACGGACTTTCTATTTCCACGAGACAGACGTCTGTCCTGCTGCTCTTCTCCCCGTCTCCTACCCCACCGTCCCCTCTCAGCCACAATCCAGAGCCGGGACTGTGAGCTGCCGCGGAGCCTGTTCCTGCGAATGGCCTTTGGAGCAAAGAGGTAAACCCACCCCAGGGCAGCTGAGTCTTAGGAAGAGCAGATGCAACTCCACACACCGTTCTTCTACGTCTCTGCTGTTCTCCTTGGTTTCATTTTTTTTTTAAAAATTACCTGCTTCGGGTGGGGATGGAGGGTGGAGGGGAGGGACTGGGGAAGATAAGTAGACGTATAACAATCACTTCTTGAAGAAGTATAATTGTAAATAAGCCATGTAAAATGCCTTTTTTAAATTTAATTTTATAGCTGGCTCCAATTCAAACTGAGGATTTATACATTAGATCACTTATTTGGTTGGCACGTGCGGGAACTCAGTTAAAATGCAGTGGAAGATCTCATCTCCCAGATGGCTGTTGCTTTGGGAGGGAGTGGATATAGAGCACTTCCCGAAAAGAACAAAAGCGTCCAGTCTTTGTCACTGGTCACTAACTGCTTCTGCCCCTCCTCCTCCGAAAGTCTTGCTCGTGACCTTGCTCTGGATTCTCTCTTCCCTGCGGGGCGCGTGCTCTCGTGTCCTGCTGTTTTGCTAACAGGAGGCTGCTGCTGTAGGGCGTGCTGCTCTCCCTGCTCAGAGCGCACCCTTCCGGGGCTCTGCGCACCCCTGCTCCCCGGGCTTTATTTCTTGTCCTTTCATCATAAAGAGAGAGGGTGGGTGTTGGTTTTTCCTTCTTCTTTCTTTCTTTTTCTTTTTTTTTCTTATGGAACTTGGCCACAATTTCTGAAACCTGTGCCTAAATTACCGACTAGCTTCAGTGATTCCTCTGAATGTTTCCCTTTCGGTTTCTGGAAAGATTCTTTGTCCACGTTGTTAACTAGGACATAGAGCTGAAGAGCCTTGAATTATGAAGAACTCAGCCAGAGGGCAGGTGACACTCGTGTTCTGTGGGTCAGTGGGATCCAGGTTAGACCAATCAGAGCTTCAGGGTTAGACCACCGAGGGAGAACCCGAGCGCTCTCAGCCCCGTGTGCTCTCTGAAGTCAGATTCTAAATTGTGTTTGAGTCTGTGCCTCTATTTTCCCCTGAGCCAGATCCCTCAACTCATAGCCCCAGTTGGCTTTTGCAGAATTCTGAAAAATGCCAGTTTGTCCCTCCTTTTCCGTAAAACATATTTATACATGGTGATTAGGAGTACTTTCTGAAGAGTACTTCATATTTTTTTCAATTGCCTTGTTTGCCTTCAACTTCCTTAATTTTCATGGTTTACATGGATGTGTGTGTAGGGGGTATATTTGTGTACATACGTGTGGGTTGGGATTTTTTCCGTTGCATGTGTGGGTTCCATGGACATATGATCCCCACAAGCCGTGGGAGTGATTGGCCAGGCCTTGTTTTTCGTTCGTGTTTTTGTTCTTTTGAAGAATAGAGTGGTATTTAGAAAATAGAAATGCATTGCAAAGCTCTTATCGGCTCGTATGAGAGAGCAGGCTCCTGCCCTTGAAAATGCTGGTAAGTCGTATCATATGTTTTAAAAGAGTTTTGAGCATTTCATGCTTTAAAATACTTTCACGAGGGAACTTTACACACAGAAGTTCATTTGGTTTTTTTTTTGATGTATGGTGCATAGCAATAAAGATTCTTCCCCTTTTCTGCCCCGCCCCGTACCCCCAGGCCTCTGTGCTGGCCACTGCTCTCCCTGCTCTTCTCCTTCTCCTCTTTTTCTCTCTTGTCACTGAAGGCTGTGAGCTGCTTTCAGTGTGACAAAACCATGGTGTCACTTGGAAGAATTTGCCAGGACAGACTGATTCTTGGTTAAGGATGATGTGTGTTTTCGTGGCAGTGCTGTAAAATGATCCTGTGGGAAGCTTTTTCATTAACATATTTACCACCGAGAACAAAATGTTGGCAAAAGGCTAACACCTGATTTTAAAAAGATGGTCCTGGGAGGACAGAGGGAAGGGTCTCTCTTCATTGCTTGAAGTAAGGTCACTTCAGTTAGCTTGCAATCATGTGTAAGTTTATTAGTGTGCAGTCTTACTGCGCACTGTTACTCATTTATCCACCAAGTATTGTGTGGGAAACGTGAAAAAACATAGAGCTGCCCGCTGTTAATGGTGTGAAATTCTCACGTTAAAAAAAAAAGACCAATAAGAACCAAATGTGACCTTGTGCATATTTTGGCAGCTGAAGTTCTTTGAGGCTACTGATAGGTGACCCCTTAAATGAGTCTTGTCTTTGCAGCGTGCAGGGAAAGGTTTTGCCTTTCACGCTGTTTTTTGGGGGGTGGGGTGGGGGTAGTTATTTGCAGAAAGAATCATTTTGACATTATAGGGACTCTCGTTACAGCTCCTGCCACAGACATTAATAGCTGAGCAACAGCCACATGTGTCGATTGTATCCACTCACCGGTGACGATGGCATTGAGCGTAGCTAGCTGCTTTCCATCACTACATTTTTTTGAGCTTGCTCTTATGTTTTAAGAGGTGCCAGGGGTACATTTTTGCACTGAAATCTAAAGATGTTTTAAAAAAACACTTTTCACAAAAATAGTCCTTTGTCATTACATTATTTACTCATGTGTTTGTACATTTTTGTATGTTAATTTATGAATGATTTTTTCAGTAAAAAATACATATTCAAGAACCAAACCTTGGTGGTCGTCTCTTTGTCTTGGACAGTGGGCTTTCGGGGGGGGGGGCGCTGTCTTTCCTTCCCCTTGGGAATTCAGCTCCTGTGTGTTCCTTCTAGTGACTTGGCTTCCACTTGGCTTGGCTGACCCCTGGGTGCTCCTGGGGGAGATTCTGCCCGCGAGACCCCTGCACCCAGGCCCTTCAGTGAAGACTCAGCCGATGTAGCAAAAGCAACGAACCCACTTGCTGTCCAGACAGCCTCCCGCACTTGGTTTTCATTCAAGAATTGACTCTGGTGATGCCCATCAAGTCCAATGACTCCCCTGGGCAAGGGGAGGTGGCGGGGGGCGGGGGGGTCCATGGATCCTGGCTCCAGAAGGTCCTCTGGGGCCAGTCCTGAGTTTGCTGTCCGCCTGATTCTGTGCGGAGATGGCAATCGTTAACTTCTATTTGTTGGATATTGGCCAGTCACTAATATTTATTGAGTGTGAAGTTCTGTGCCCAGGTGCTAAGGCTATAATGATTAGCAGAATAAGACAGGTCAGTGGCCTCATCAAGCTTACTGTCCTTTTCTCTCCCCGCCCCAGGTGGAGGGTATGATTCAAACTACAACCAAGGCAAGTGCTATAGAGATACCCATAGGCACAAGTGCGTGGTGCGGAAGGTGTCGCTGACAGGCGGTGGGTGAGCTGCAGGAACAGCAAGCCAGTGCTGCTGAAGCAGAGAGGGCAAAGGCGGGCGGCAGACACTGTTAGGCTGGGGAGATGGATGGGGGCAGACCATGCGGTGCAGGGCCTTGTGGGCCTGGGTAAGGAGTTTGGATTTTATACTTAGAGCAACGGGTTCAAGCGTTTCCAGCCGCTAGGGCTGTGTGCGATGTGATTAGACAGTAATCTTGGTAGATGGCTCCAGCTGCAGGGAGAATGGGGGGTTGTAGAGAAGCAAAGGAGAAGTAGGAGGACCAGTTGAGTGCAGTCAAGTTGGGGGGTGGGTGCGGTATGCAGGAGAGGAGATGGAGGGCGGCTGGTATGGAGGAGAGGAGATGGAGGGCGGCTGGTATGCAGGAGAGGAGATGGAGGGATGGTGAGAGGTAATACAGGACCTGGACGTGGACTGCTGTTGGGATGGAGGAGTCCACTGAGCTGCTGTCTTCTCTACTGGCTTGGATGGCAAGGCCGTTCCCTGAGACGGGGGCGCTGGAATTGGACCAGGTTCATGAGGAAGATCATGAGATCAGGTGTGAGTGTGTTGAGTTCAGGGGGTTTTGAGACAACCAAGCAGAAACGGCAAATAGGCAGTTGTACGTATTCTGGTTTGGCGACTCAAAGAAACGATTGGGACCACCGGTGGATTTGTGAGTCTCCAGGTGTAGGAGGTAAGTGAAGAACTATGAGTGGATGAGATTGCTTCGAGATTGAGTAGAGCAGGAAGCAGAGGGAGAAGAGAAAGTGGCCTTGGCCTAAGCCTCTAAGAGCTTTGTTAAAACAGTGGAGAAGAAGAGGATGAGAGCAAGGCAGGCAGGAAGAGTGGTGGGAGGAAGGCGGGAGTGGAGAGGACAGGCACGTCAAGGGGAGAGATGTTCAAGGGAGTGTCAACAGCACTGAATGCAGCAAAGAAGTGACACAAGACGAAGAGGGAGAACTAATGATTGGCAAGGGGGAGGACATTGGTCATGTGGCAGGAGCCATTTTGCGGAACTGGGGGGATCAGGGGACACACAGGAGCGGGCTGAGAAAGGAGGGAATGAGGCAGCGGTGAGGGCCGGCGTCTCTTGACTTTCACGTGAAGGGGTCAAGAGAAGGCTGGAAGCTGGGAAAGCGTGTGAGGCTCAGAGAGGGTTTTGACTTTGGTTTTCCAACAAGGGAAAGCTGAGTGTGTTTTTCAACCATAGGGAGATGTCCACCCGAGAAAGAAAGCTGAGTATACAAGAGACGAGGGATAATCCAGCAGGAATGTTCCTGAACTAGTGGCGGGGGAGGAGACTCAAAAAAAGAAAAAACTCAGTGGGAATTAGGAGCCCTTCGTATGCCATCTCTCGTTGGCAAACACCCCGTGAAGACCCGTGTTGCTGTTAAAAAGGTCGCGGATCCCTTCCAGCAAGTCGCCAGAATTGGAATTCAGCAGAATCGATTCCTGTACTACCACTATCTTCCTACTCAAAATTTTTTTAATTTGGGGCAAGTCCAGTCGTAAAAACAGTAATTCCCACTTATTGAGGGCTTGTTCTGTGCCAGGGGCTGTGCTAGTTAAGCACATTGTACACAATTAGTCATCAATCCTGCAAGATAGACGTTGCTTCTTTTTCTAGAGTAGAGGTTGCTCAACCTCGGCCCTTGACATTTGGGGCGGGATAGTTCTTTGTACGGGGAGGGGGCGCGGGGGGTGTTGCCGGCCTCTGGGCACTGTGGGATGTTGAGCAGCACCCTTGGCCTCCACGCTGTGAAGGCCAGTAGCAGCACCCCCCTCCTCCCCAGCTGTGACAATCAAGAATGTCACCAGACATTGCCAAATGACCCTGGGGAGAGCAAAATCGCTAGGGTTGGGAACCGCTGCCCCAGAGCTGGGGAACAGAAGCCACCACTTGCCTGAGGTCACAAAGCTGGCACATGGAGCCAGCCAGGATCTGAACACCAGGTCGCTTTTCTCCAAGGTAAATGCTCTGAACCCATAAGCCGCTTCTGATCCAACTTCTCTTTTGCATCTGTGCTCTTAAGAGCTTTTGTTCACAGACGCAGTTCACAAATATTTTTATTATAAAAGTAAGACATGAGTACATGCTTGCTGAAAAAAAGTTCTAG